ACTTCAACAATTCTACTGTTTGAACTATTCAAAGTTACAGAGTAATGGGTTTGGATGGATTATAAGCAAATTGATTAAATAATATGGATTAGAAGATAAGAAAATAGCTCAGTTTAACCCAATTAGTGTTATTCCTCCATGGCTATTCCCTGGGGTAAATGTAGACATGAAACTGAAAATGAAAAATGATTGGAATTTAAATGAAATAGGGATAAAGACTGATATTTATATATTTAAGAAACTCATATTATAACTACCTTAAAATATATCCAGATGGTTCTAAGAATTTAAAAGGATGTGTGGGAATAGGAATATATATACCAGAATTTAAAATATACATTTCTAAACAAATATCAGATAATCTATCTGTTTCACAGCAAAAGTAGTAGCAGTTATACTAAGCTTACCATGGGAAGAGGAGGTTAGACCAGACAGGGTGGTGGTCTGTACAGATTCCATAGCAGTTTTAGAAAGTATTTAGGGAGAAGAAACAATAGAAAAGATTTAGTATTAGAAATTGAGCAAAGTCTATTTAGATTATATAGGGGTGGCGTTGATGTTTGGTTGTGTTGGGTTCCAGCACATGAAAGTGGAAAAGGCAATGAAAAGGCAGATATATAGGCAAAAAGGGCTTTAGAGGGTCAATTACAATTCCTTTACGGAAAGGGGAAAGTAAATCACTTGGATTAAAGAAATGGAAACATTTCTTTCAAAAGAGGTGGAATGAAGATCAGTAAGGAAGAGGATTATAAAGTAAGTACAAGAGTTAGTATTAAATAGAAATATTAATGAGGGAAACAGAGGGGAAGAAGTAATAATGATCAGATTAAGCGTGGGACATACCTATTTAAATGACAATTTATTTTTAATGAGGAGGGAAAATAATGATAAATGAAAGAAAAAGAAAATGTAGAACATGTACTGATGAACAGTAAAACTTATGAAGATGAAAGGGAGAGGTTGAGAAGGATGGTTGGAAGGACAGGCAATGAATGGAGTCTTAAAGGAATATTGGCAAATGAAGGAAATATAAAGGATATTTACAGATTAAGCATGATTTATGTATCTTCAGAATACAAAATTAGAAAATGGTAGATGTAAAGTAATGTTGCTACACACTCATGTACAGTAGGTGGTGGTATGCACCTTAAAGTTGCTTGCGATCTGCCATAATAGAAAAGAACTTTGTTAGGTCAATTAATACTTCTGTTGCTTGTGTTAAATTTGGTTTTGTTGACCTCATTTTCATTTCTTGGGCCCAGATTTATGTTTAAAGTTCATAATTTTGTAGTAAATAAATATATTTCCAGTTTTTCTTCAATCTTCCCAGGGCTTCCTTCACACAAGTGCTAAACATCAGAATAATGAGTCAATTGTTGTTTCAAAAGATTTGTCTGAAAGATATTTTGAGACAAATCTTGTACTCAAATACACATTATATTGCCACGACAAGAGATAAATGGCTTTAAAATTTGCCTTTCATGCCAAAATCCTCATTGCAATTCTGTCTTAGAAGAGTTCTGTAGTGAATTCAAATTC